CTCTTTCAGCTTGGATTTATCCCTTTTTGTTATGCTAGCTTGTACATTGAATAGGATAGAAACAGTGAAAGAACTGATGTTTTGGGAGAACTAACAGATTTTTTTTTTTCTCTGATCAATCGCTTTAGAGAACTTAATTTTCAAAAACTTAAAATATTATTCTGATGCTGTTCTACTTTAAATCTGTCAACAATACTATATCTCCAGGATGGAGGCTTATTATCAAACTGTTTTTTCACAGGGACTTTGAGGAAGATGATGACAGCTCCGATTGGCTATCAGAACTGAAGAGGAGATCTGGCTGGCAAGACGTGTGTGACGGATAACGCTCAGGGAAATGTTTCCTAGTCACGTGGAAATATTTCAAATGAAGAGTCCGTGTCAGAATAATAATGAGTTTGTGTGATCTATATTTTCCTTTGGAAACAGATTGAAAGGGGGAAACTAAATATTTTAAATGGTTCCTGATTAGTATCACAGAATTTAAAAACCAAGAACTTTTGTGACATTTTGAACTCAAGGGAGAAAGTATAGCGGAATGGGTATGAGGTTTGGACTTTGCAGTTCAGTAGAACAGAAATTGGGTGTTTACCACTAAATTTCTTAACCTCTTTGAGCCTTAGTTTCTTCAACTACAAAATAAAGATAATGCCTGCTGGGACCAGCAGTTAGCGTAATGGCTATGTCTCTGGACTCCCATGTAGTCGACGGTGGTTCGTGTCCCGGACCCGGTGGCTTTATTTAACTCACGCCGGGCGCGTGTGCATGCGTGCCCAAGATCCTGAGAGGAGAATGGAGGAGAAGGGATTGTGGCGTAACCGTGGGGGTGTATTTCTCGCTTTCTGTCTCTGTCTCTCTCTGTCTGTCTGGCGAGCGCACGCGCCCTACAGCAAAAACCTCTCAAAAAAAAAAAAAAAGTTAATGCCTGCTTCATAGAGTGCTGACCATGGACCTTTACAAGTAGCTCATTAGAATTGTTATGATTTGTGTTTATTATTATGTAACTATGTGCTTATTATGTAACTCTTTTTATAGTTCCTTAAGTTTTTTTTGGAGAGGTTTTCTGTAGGGCACGTGTGCTTGTCAGAAAGACAGAGAGAGACAGAGAGACAGAAAGCAAGAAATCACCCCCCCCAGGGGGGATGGCCATACCACGCTAATTGCTGGTCCCTAGTTCCTCAAGTGTTGAGGATCTAAGTATATTTAATTATTAACATAATGTTTGCAGTTTTTCAGTAAGACCTAGTTCTGGATATTTTGAAGGTCATTTCTAATGAGCTTCACTGACTACCAGCTATACAGTTCCCTCCTAGGATGCACAAAAACACCCAAGTTGGAAGATCACCCATGGGAAGAGAGGGGTGGGCTATAGATCCTGTCACAAGTTGGTGGCCCTATAGATGAGAGGAATAAGGCCAGCAATGAGGAGCAGATATGGTAGGTGTCAGAAACGAGAGAGTATTGGGGATACCAACAAGTATGGAACCCACGTGGATCACTGACAAACGCGTGCTGGGTCCTGTGTCCTCATTTAATACTGTGATGTTTTAGTCCGATGAGACTGAAGAGGAAACAGGCCTTTCAGCAGATCTCACAGAGGCAAGGGTGGGAACGTCATAAGCCTGACCCTGGTGTAGACTAGGAAACAATGCAAAAGTGAAGAATTGGGGGGAAAGGGGCTGGGACTGGCAGGTGGCCTGATGGTTAAGGTGCTAAATTCTCACGTGGCCAACTGCAGTTCGAGTTCCAGACTTGGTGGCTTTCTCACTTTCCATCCTTCTATCTCTCCTTGTCTCTCTCTGGTAAGTGCATGTGTCCTATAGCAAATAAAGTAAATGAATAAATAAAGACAATTAAATAATTATTTTGTAAAAAAAACAAATTGGGCCTCAGGGCTGGCAAGTGGCATGGTGGTTAAAGACACTGGACTCCCACATGGCCGACGACGGTTCAAGTCTTGGACCTGGTGGCTTCCTTTCTCACTTCCTCTCTCTCTCTGTCTCTCTCTGATTAAACTGGAAAATAATAATGATGATAATAATAAATGAAGTGAAATAAAGTAATTCTTTAAAAAAATAGGGCTGGCAGGTGGTGTGGTAGTTTTTGATATCGTGATGATGGAGGCTTCATAAAATGAATTTGGGAGGGTTCCTTCTGTTTGAATCTTTAGAAATAGTTTGAGGAGGGCCCAGCAGATGGCATGGTTGGTTGAGGCACTGGACTCCCACATGGCCAGCTACAGGTCCATTCTCAAACTTGGTGGCTTGAATATCACAGTGGCTGTATGTGCGCAGGCCCAAAATCCCAAGGGGGAAAGTGGAGGAGAAGGGATGGTGAGTTTTCACTTTCCCTGTTTCTCTGTACCATATAACCAAAAAAATTTTATTTTTAAAAAGTGTGCAGGGGGGGCAATACAATAGGATCATTACAAAAACCTGCTAAAACGGCAACATGTACATCACTTAAAGATATGAGAATCCCGATGTAGTGTAGATTCCTATGTGATGTAGATTCCTATGCCATACATATACTTTATTTTTGTGTGTATTTGTAGGTTGTGTGTGTGTGTGTATTTTGTTTTGTGGGTTATCTGATGGGGTCTTATCATGTCATGATCCTTCTGCCTCACTTCCTGTGTGGCTGGGGCTACAGAGGTGCGCCACCACACCTGACTCCACTTACACTTAAGTTACACTTAGACATGTAGACTTTCAGTCTCCTCTTCACTGGCAGTCTCTCAATTTTTCCATTTTTTAGGACCTTGGCACTTTTTTTTTTTTAATGAGAGAAAGAGACAGCACTCTCGGCAGGGTCTTGTCACAGTACAATCCCTCGCCCGAGCCCTCCAGCTCATCGGGATCCTGGGTGCCTGTGCTCTCAGCATGTTTTCAGATCCATACGTGTGGTTGGCCATATGGCCCCTCAGCCCTGCAGGACACCTGTGTTACTGCTGTGCCTCAGTGGCTGGGCCATCTTGACACTTGTGAGGAGTACCGGTTAGGTATTTTGTAGATGTGCCTCTAGTTGGACTTGTCTGATGTTTTTCTCATGATTGGTCTGAGCTTATGGGGGTTCGGGGAAGAAGACCACAGAGGCAAAGTGTCTTTCTCATCCCATCATATCAAGGGATGCATGACGTTGACACGACTTACTCCTGCTTGTTTGCCTGGACCATCAGTTGTAAAGATACTCTTTTCCATCTTAAGCCCTGTTCACTGTAAGTCACTAATTCCAGCTTGTACTCAAGCAGAGGAATCAGTCTCCACCTTGGGATGGAGGGAGTATAATCCAATACTAAGTCATTCGTTTTATTGTTTAAATTGTAGCTTTCGCCACAGGGAGTTGTTTCAGGTTGGCTCTTGTGTCCCTTTGACATGTCCCCATCATTTTTTGGCACTTCCTTCCTGGTACTACCAGGAGATGATGTAGATTCATTTTGTAATTTCTTTGTGCTGGGCGCAGAATAAGCCATTTCCCCAAGGAGTCCTGGTTCCTCGCATTGATCTAAAGTAACCAAGATCTGGGTGCTGGCTGTGTTTCTTGCTTCTTGAGGTGCCACTGCTTCTATGCCCTCTCAGCAGACAGAACTAGGAAATACATGTATACACCACCCTGTGTATCCACCCATCTCTACAGTTAATTTTTGTATTTTTCTACCTGTTATATGTATGTTAAGCTATGCATGGGTTTATATTGATATTTCTGACTAATAAATACCACAATGTTCATTCTAGCCTCCCTCCACCCTCTCACTGTTCTGTAATTTCTCTCCCTGACAATGAGAAACCTAAGTTGCGCCATCTACCAGCCACTATACATGTGAAGCAGAGTCCAAGTCATTAACCCGTACCTCTGTGAGAAATAAATTTATCAACTAGGTGCAGAGTTTATGCTTCATTCCTATTTTCCACACTGCCATTTTGCAAAATCACTTAGGTTAGCTCTTTCAACATTTGCTCACCAATAAGGGTATTTCCAGATATTCAGCTTCTGTATATACTGTATTCTCTGCCTCTAGCCATCTCACATCTTAGCATTGCCTCAGGGTATAGACATTTCCACACCATCAAACAAATTATGTATTGTTATTGTGAGACTGAATCTTGGATTATAAATTTTATTGAAAATTGAGTTTTTTGTTTGCTTTTTTTAAAAAAAAAATAAGTGCATACACATACAAGAGAGAGAAGAGGGGCATTATCCACAGGATTTCATCATGCTGTGATCCCTTTTCTTCATTCTTGCAAGTCTTCAGGATCCTGGAAGCCAAGGTGCTCACCCAGAATGTTTTTGGACCAGCAGGGGATTCCAACTTGGGATGGCCATGTGGTCTCCAGCAGTAACATTCTTACTGCTGTGCCAAAGCGACTGGACAAGGGGGGCACTTGACATTTTTAGAATTTTTTTTATTTAACTTTATTCATTCATTTATTTTTATTTTTTTATTTTTATTTTTTAAACACAAACATACACCCAGTGTGATTTTCTTTTTTTTTTTTTATACATTTTTTTTTTTATTTACATTCATTCACTGTACATCATTATAGCATACAAAATGAGATTTTTCCATTGAGAATACACTGTATATTGGCTCAATCAAGCACATCAACATATGTGTTATTGTCAACAAATCATTTTCCATTTCTTGTTTTCTGTATATTTTGCCTTTTTTCCCATCCTTGATTCCCTATCTCACCCTCTGCCATTCATTCATTTATTTTTAATTTCACCAGAGAGGGACAGAATGAGAGAGAGGGAAAGTGAGAAAGTTAGCTGTCAGGTTCAGGACTTGAACCACAGTTGGCTATGTGGGAGTCCAGTGCCCTTAATCACAATGCCACCTGCTTGCCCAATCAGGGGAACACTTTTAACAAAACTTCCACCCCTATTTACTTAATGTATATGAAACGTCACTGCACTTACAGTTAAGAAAAAAGAAAAGGAAGAATTGGTATTGAACCTTTTCTCTCTAGCAAGAAGTTAGCATACATCTATAATTTTTTTTAGAGGTTTTTGCTAACAGGGCACGTGTGCTTGTTGGAAAGACAGAGAGAGACAGAGAGACAGAAAGTGAGAAATCACCCCTCTGGGGGGATGGCCACGCCGCAATCCCTTCTCCATTCTCCTCTTGGGATCTTGGGCACGCATGCTCACGCACCCAGCGTGAGTTTAAGCCACCGGATCTGGGACTCGAACCACGGTTGACTACATGGGAGTCCAGTGACATAGCCATTATGCTAACTGCTAGTCCCCAATTACTATTAATTTAATAACTCAATCCACAAAAAATATCTTAACATTCTATGATCAGGGGGCCAGAAGATGGCTTGGCAGTTACTTTGCTGGACTCCCACATGGCTCACTGCAGTTCAAGTCTCATACTGTTGGCTTGAAACTCATGCTGGGTACATGTGTGTGTATGCCCAAGATCCTAGGAGAAGAGATTGTAGTATGGCCATTCCCCACTACAGGGTGATTTTTCACTTTCTCACTGTCTGTCTCTGGTGAGGTTTTTCCCTAAGGCAAAAACCTCAAAAAAAAAAAAAATAAGGTTCTATGATCAGGAAATATGAATTAATGTCTATATACTTCTTTCTTTCAGAGCAGTACGATAAGGGGATCAATAAGACTTTCAAGCATGAAAAATGTTATTTTAGGATACAATTCTATCAGGAAGGTGGAATGGAAATAGGAATTGAACAAGAAAAAATAATGATAAAAACTTTATGATTTTTGGGGGCTGGCAGTGGTGTGGTGTGGTGGTTAAGGGTGCTGAACTCACACATGACTGTGGTTCGAGTTCCAGACCTGGTGGCTTGTTTTCTCACTTCCTCTCTCTCCCTGTCCCCTCTCTGGTCAAATTAAAATATAAATGAAGTTAAATAAAATAATTCTTTAAAAAAAATTCATGATTTTAAAAAATTTACATGTACACTTGCCAGAGTGAAAAAGCACACCCCCCCCCTCATGGGGGATGGTCTCCTTGCAATCCCTTCTCCATTTCTCTGGCCTCTGGAGGTTTTGGGCATGCCTAGTTGGGTGATTTTCAAGGTCAGGAGGAGAAGTCCACTTGCAAGTTTGGCCATGTGGAATCCAGCCACTTCGACCAACATGCCACTGCCTGACCCATACATTCTGATTCCTTTTTTTATTTTTAAGATTTTTTTTTACTTATTATTTATGTTTTAATTTTACCAGAGAAAGACAGAGAGGGAGGAAAAGTGAGAAAGCAAGACACCAGGTTCAGGACTCGAACCGCCGTCGATCATGGGGAATCCAACGTGATGGTTTTAACCATCACGCCACATGTCAACCCCTACATTTTGATTGTTAGAGGTTTCATTTTATGTTTTAGATGGACGATGGTGAGTATCATATCTTCATGGTATTTTGATTCCACTGGATGTTTTACTTGTGTCGGTATTTGCAATTGCTGGCAATTAGATCCTATTCACCTACTGATTGTTGTATTATCACATGGGCAGTGAGACAGGGGACATGTTTGCAGGCTACCGAGCAGCAGATAGTTTTGCAAGGTGACCTTATGGAAGGCCGCAGATTGTGGCGGAAAGAGCAGGACGAGGTTCCGGCCTCACAGCCACCTCTTAGCAGTATTTGAGACTTTGCACGATAAACACTTCGGGCCTCCGTTTAGCTTTTAGCAACACTTGCCCTCTATTCTTTACCTTGCAGGCCTGTAAGAATAGAGTACGCGAAGTGAAGCACCCGGTGCCCCGTAAACGTGAGCGGGGAGCGGTATGCTTGAGTGTTAGGCAAAGGAGTCCGTCCCCACCTAAGGCAAGGGGAGGTGGGTGACTCAGTTGAATCTCCAAGCTCCTGGCCCCTGGCTCCCCAGAGGCCAGTCCCCTTGCCAAAGGATCCCCGCCCGCGTTCTTCCGCGCAACTCCGCCCTGGCGGTGGAGAGGCGCAGCTGCCACGGGAACCCGAGATCCACCCCGACGCTTCGCTCACCGGGTGGAGTCGGAGGAGCAGGTATGCCGCGGGAGGGCCGTTCTTAGTCCTTAGCCCGAGCTGTCCCGGAGCTCAGGGAGCCCCGGATGAAAAGGGACCGAGTCCTGGCCAGAGTTGGGACCACCGAGGAGCAGCAGCCAGTCTCTGGCCTTGTTGGTCTCCATGGCAACGCTTCACGCGCCACGCTCGCAGTCCACACTCCAGCCCCGCGGACTCGAGCCTCATTCAGTCGTCCTGAGTGGTCCCCAGGGAGAAGAAATCCACCTCCCCATCTTAGTGCCCCCTGGGCGGGTGGGTCGCGGGCCCACAGTTCTCAAGCTGCTTACAGTGACCTGGAGTTCCGACTCCGCATCCGCCCCGCTCAGAACTCAGGCCGCCCCGGGGCGGCAAAGCTGGCTCCCGACCCAGTCCGTACCCGTTTACTATAAATGAAATTACTCTGAAACAACCTGTCTGCTCTTTCAGTTTTTAAAAACCTGCGCTATCCCCCAACATGAAGGATAGAAGGAATGCAATGTACAATTTTGCATTTCAAATGCTTCTCACTACTACATTCAAATAGTGAGTGGCCAGAGGCCCGGTCTGCACCGTCACTTGAGCCGCTGCAAATGCAGGTGGTTGGGTCTCCGGAACCACCGGAACCAGGAGCAGCGTGGCGTGGAGAACGTGATTTTCCCAAATGGCTCACAGTTCTTGATAAAGTTCCAAACAAAGTGCAGCCATACCTCAATTTACATGTAGTTGCCTTACTAGAAAAGTTCAGTAGTAATTAAAGCAGTGCAAGAAAATACAGTAGGTTCATTTAGATGTAAAAATAATTTGGTTCTTGTCGCAGAAAATTATGAACGGAGTTTTACACGCACATGAACGCACGGAAAGACTTTCCGGTATTGCGGGGCTGCAGGATAATCCTTCATTATTCGGGACCATCCTTCACATCACTGAATCTTGGCATCCCAGACCCCAAGTGCTTCTAAATGCCGCAAGATCTGTGGCTATCTGGGAAAAGAAACTAAACCTATAAATAAACGCCCTCTAGAGGGCAGTACCTCCCCACCAACAAATGCGGGACTGTAACATTACACAAGCCTAAAACTGCTTTGCAGAGGCTCCAAGCACTAGGGCCGTAAGATCTTTCGTTTTTTAGAACCGGCTGGCAAAATAGGTATTATTTCCATTTTAGAAACTAGGACGGTGAGGTTTGTGAGGTTCGGTGACTGGCTCCACAAAGCTAAAGTGTATCCCAGCTGAGCCACTATCCAAGTCTGACTTCCAAGATTCCTAAGCCTACCAAAACACTCTGACTCATTTTTGTTGTTACCAGTGGCCACAAGAAAGTTACTGGTTCTGTCTTGGCAAGACTTGAAGGAAAGTTTTAGCAAAGTGAGTTCTTTTACATTTTAGTCATCAATTTTCTGGCCTTATTAGTCTATATAAGAAGTGTGTGATACAATGTTATTTCTCTAGTTCCAGAAATCACTGTGCATTGGAAACTATGGATAAATATGATGTGATTAAAGCCATCGGGGAAGGTGCCTTTGGGAAAGCATACTTGGCTAAAGGGAAATTAGACAGCAAGCAGTGTGTTATAAAAGAGATCAATTTCGCAAAGGTAAAGTTAAAAAGTTCAAATTTCTATTCATTTTCAGTAGTTCAGCTGGCTCTTAACCCAAAAGGAAACACTCTCTTTTTTTTGTTTTTTAATTATGAATTTTAAGCTTCAATTGACTCTGACTCATTTAACCTCCTGAGTCCATTGTCCAAATAGCAACCACTGATCTTATTTTTAAAAAATAAAAGGAAGAGGAGCCAGCAGATGACTTGGTGGTTAAGGTGCTAGACTCCCACATGGCTGCTTGTGGTTTGATGCTCGGACCTGGCAGCTTACTTTCTTACTTTCCCTTTCTCTGTCTCTCTCTGGTCGAATTAAAAAATACTACTAATACTAATAAATAAAGTTAAATAAATATTTTTTTAAAGGAAGGAAGAAAAGAAATAAGATCCCCCCTTCATATCTCCTGTGTCCCTCCTTTGGATGTCTTGCATGGTCCTGTCTTATGCCACCCTTCTCTGTTTCTCGGACCTTTCTCAGTGGTGCCCTAGGGTGGTGCGCATCCTCTGAATGGCTCTCCTATTCAAATCACCTCCTCTCGGAGCCTGTCCCAAACATCCTAGCTAAGGCAGCACCCTGACTTCAGTCCCTTCTCATATTCCCCTGATTTATTTCCTTTAAAAGTTTTCAAAACTATTTTTGAAAGAGGTTGCATGCACTTGCCAGAGAGAACAAGACAAAAAGAGAAAGAGAGAAAACACCCCACCCCCATGGGATGTGGTCACATCTCAATCTTTTCTCCTTCATTTCTCTATCCTTTTGGGAATCTGGGCATCAATACACACATGTCTGACATCTTTTTTTAATCTGCCAGGGCTGGGATTTGACCTGATGTCAGCCATGTGAGATTTGGCCTCCCTTAACCATTGGGTTATGGGGCTAGCCCAGCAACAACTGCTTTCTACTTTGATGTGTGCTTTGCCTGTTTTACTTTGTGTCTTCTTCCCCTTATTAACTGTATGTTCTATGCAGGTAGGATCTATGTCTGATTCCTCTTGGTATTCCACACAGCACCTAATAATGCTTTGTACCGGTAGATAGTCAGTAAATTCTTACTGGACAAATGGTCAATGAATAGGTGCTTTCAGGCCCTCTTGTGCTGTTGTTCAACTTCCAGTATACTTCCAATTTAGGAAGTATAAAACTATTTTCATTCTAAGTAAAGAGAAACTATTAGAGAAGTGAATCTTCTTTAAAACATATATTAATTAATTTTATAGCATCTTTCCTGTTCTTTACTACAATAAAAACAAAGTTGAGTGTATTTTTTAATACAGCACTCTTTTTTCTTTCCTTTTTTCTGGAGAGGTTTTTGCTATTGGCCGCATGCGCTCACCAGAAAGACAGAGAAAGACAGAGAGATAGAAAGTGAGAAATCTCCCTCAGGGGAGATGGCCATGCTGCAATCCCTTCTCCTGCATTCTCCTCTTGGGATCTTGGGCACGCACACACACACACACCCAGTATGAGTTCAAGCCACTGGATCCGAGACTCGAACTGCTGTCGACTACATGGGAGTCCAGTGACATAGCCAATACGCCAATTGCTGGTCCCACAGCACTCTTTTTTTCAACATTTTCCTCATGAACTACCCTTTTCTCCATGCCATAAATACATACAGTGTTATATTAGACCTCATTATTCTGATTTTCCATATCTTTATGTTATGAAATTTTCCTAGTAACATTTGTGTTGTGATATTAACATTTATTACTTCTTTCTTCCTTTCTTCTATAATGTAGCTGTTCATTCTTTTTTTTTTTTTTTTGAGAGATATTTCCATGTGTGCTCACCAGAGACAGGGGGAAATCACTCCCTGGAGGGATGGCCAAATCACAATACCTTCTCCTCCATTCTCCTTTTGGGATTTTGGGCACGCACACACGTGCCTGGAGTGTTTAAGCCTCGAGTTTGGGACTCCCACTGTGTCGGCCCTATAGGAGTCCAACCACATAACCATTACACCATCTGCTGGTCCCCCTACCCCCCTATTTTTTTGAGAGCGAGATTTTTGTTATAGGGAGTGCTTGCTCGCAGGAGAGAGAGAGAGACAAAAAACGAGAAATAACTCCCCTGGGGAGTGGCCAGGCCACAATTCCTTCTCCTCCATTCTTCTCTTGGGAATTTGGACATGCACGCACACATGCCCAGCATGAGTTTCAAGCCACTGGATCCAGGACTTGAACTGTGGTTGGCTACATGGGAATTCAGCACCTTAACCACTACACCACCTACTGGTCCCTACCTGGTGTTTTTGTTTTCTTTTTTTTGTTTTTCTTTGAGAGAGAGATGTTTGCTACAAAGAGAGAGACAGAGAGGAAGAGAGCGAGAACCTCCCCTCTGGGGGTGGGGGTGGGGCAGGATGCCCACGTCACAATCTCTTCTCCATTCTCTCAGGATTTTGAGAACCTCCCCTCTGGGGGTGGGGGTGGGGTAGGATGCCCACGTCACAATCTCTTCTCCATTCTCTCAGGATTTTGGGCAAGCGTGCACATGCGCTGGGCAAGAGTTTTAACTTGCTGGACCTGGGACTCAACTGCATGGGAGTCCAGCAACGTAACCATTACACCATCTGCTGGTCCCGTCATTATTTCTTATCTAGAAAAATGTACATTCCT